CCAATCGACATACTGTATGAAAATGGAGGATGGTTTTTATGTTTTGTGTGTGTTTATGTTTGTTTGTTTTAAAATAAAAGACATTTTTAAAAAATTGAGGTTAAAAATAAGCAAATGTCCCAAATGGGAATGTAGTAGGATGAGAAGACAAACCCACCTTGTCGCCTTTGGCACCTTTTTCACCCTAGACAAAAATGGAAAAAGAAAAAAAGAAAAATCAAACATGGGTGGATTGCGGTATTAAGAGACTCACTTAGATCATGATGAAACTCAGAACCAACCCTGAAATCTTGCAAAGTTCCCTTGATTTGGTCTCTTGACTAGCATACTGCATCTCAGACATATTTGTTCTGACCCAGGCTTCCTTAGAAAGCAAGAAGCAAGATCTTGATTCCTGCAAAACCTCTTTCATTTACACAACTGTGAATTCCTTTCATTCACAGTCAGCAAAGCTTTAGCAAACAGTCTTTCAGAGGAACATTTATCAACACGAACCTTATCTCATTTAGAGCACCGCGAGATAATTAGTTTCCAAAACACAAGGCAAAGCAAAACTTGGCACAAAGCCTCTTAGAACTTTCCAGACCGAATGAACAAATTGTTTCCCGCAAAAGCCCACTCCCCGTTCATTCCTCTTTTGTTTCCTCTCGGAGGGGCCAATCACCTCCAAGGTGTGGCTTTACTCTTGAGTCGTCCCTGCTTTCTTAGTTGTTCTTGTCTTCTGGCAGTTCTGCACATACATACGCTGTGAATAGGCTCCAGCTGTTCCTCTGCCTCACTGCTGTCTAGCTCCCTCTCTGCCTCTGATGCAGAGCCCTTGTCTGAGCTTCCCTCAACCCCCAGGACTGACCCATGTTCCTCCCCAACCTCCTCACTGTCTGACTCTGCTGCCAGCTGGCAAGCTACAACACTATCCTTACTGAGACCCCCTGTGTAGTCCTTTTTAAAGGTAAGTTCTCAGTTTTGCCAAAAATGTACTAGTTTACCATTCCCTGGGACAGATTTCAAGTCCAGCCAGATCCAAATCAAGAGTTTGATTCTCAAACTGTTTGGAGTTACTAGGAATTAGGCTGAGGAACCTCTGCATCAGGCATAAGGAAATGGGGGCCCTAGAAGACTCCCAGCCCTCCCACTTGAAAATGTCTCTGCAAATATGTGACTTACAAGTTTCTGACAAGAAGATGCTTCTCTTTCAGACATCTCTCTTAGGGGATTGAAGAAAAGGGAAAGAGGGAAAAGAAAGGAAGATGGCAGAAAGACTGAGATATTATCTTCAAACCCTTTTAGTTCTGACTCAACTTCAGTCTTGCTCACCGCAAAGAGATTTTGCTCCAAATTATGCCACCATTACAATGAACGAACAAGCAAACAAACATAAATATATTTCAGATCATAATTCTACTATGAAATCTCTGTGGAGATTGTCAATCATCCATGTCATGGTTGTCCCAAAGGTGCTTTTTCGAAAGGCAACTGGACTTTGCTTTTCCTTGAAGACGTTTTGTTTCCCATCCAAGAAGCTTCTTCAGTTCTTGGATGAGAAGTGAAACACTGCCAAGGAAAAACAAAGCACCTTTGGGACTACTCTGAAATCTGTTTTGGTAACAATTTTGGTATCCCTCCCAGTTTTACCATACCTTAAGTCCTTGTCTCTGGGCAAACCTTAAAATGTGTGGACTTCAACTCCCAGAATTTCCCAGCCAACTATGCTGACCAGGGAATTTTGGGAGTTGAAGTTTACATGTCTTTAAGTTGCTGAGGTTGAAAAATATTTTCTTAAATAGCAATAGCACTAAGACTTATATACTTCTTCACAGTGCTTTTTACCGCCCTTTCTAAGTGGTTTTACAGAGTCAGTCTCCTGCCCCCAACAATCTGGGTCCTCATTTTACCCACCTCGGAAGGATAGAAGGCTGAGTCAACCTACAGCCTGGTGAGATTCAAACTGCCAAATTGCAGGCAGAGGGCAATCAGTAGAAGTAGCCTGCAGTACTACACTCTCACCACTGCGCCACTGTGACTCTTTTATCTAGGTGTTTAAGGCCAAGCCAAGAAATGGACACCAAATCCAAATCTGATTCAGATGGACTCAGAAAGAGAGTCAATGGATTTGCAAACTTTATTGCATTCCTTCCCAATTTGTTCACCAAAACAAAATTCCTTAGATTGGAAGAAGAAGAGGAGGTACATTGAGGTGTTATTTTTTTGGAGCAAAAGTCTGTCCTGCTCTAAACATTTTTAACAGGTGTCATTTTGAGGGAGGGGGGGAGGCGAGAGATTCTGAGAAAGAATCAGATAAATCTTATTATGTTTTTCATTCAGCTTAGTTCCTATACAGTACAGTATGTCTCAAAAGGATTTTTGCAAGAAGAAACATCTGCGTTGTTGGTTACTTTCATACAAAATGTTACACTCCCCAACCCTCACAACCTAACAATATCTGCTAGCATAGCAGATCTCTTTCCTTTTAAAAATAAGTTGACTGAATCATGCACCCTTTACAAAAAATTTAGGCTTTTAAAACTTTGGATCCAATCATTGCTAAAAAGCCAATTTTTGTAACAAGTGCTTTAAACCAAAAAAGCTGTTTTCACACTTTTCTTTTTTGAATTATCGTCTATGAAATTTGGTTTGATTTCCTCAGAAAAGTCATTTTCCTGAATATCCCCTGGGATTCTGCACAGAAGGAATTTTTAAAATGTATTTATTTTGCCACCCATATCAAAGATAATAACACTAAGTACCAAAAGTGCTAATTTATTTTTAAATAACGTCTAGATTGAAAATAGTTGTAGTCCTTGGTTTACAACTATAATTGAGACTTGAATTATAGCCATATATTGTGACTGTTGTTAAGCAGTTCATTGTGTGACCAAACCAATTTTACATTTTTTTCAGTCATAAAGGAGACACCATGACTGTTAAGTGAACTCATTGTCTACCATGTGTATTTTTTCCTGGACACTGCAAGTAAACACCAATTACAGTTCTAGGCTGCATAAACAGAGGGATAGAATCAAGATCATGTGAAGTGTTAATACTACTTTATAATGTCTTGATAAGGCCACACTTGTAATACGGCATCCAGTTTTGTTCGCCACTAGGTAAAAAAGATGTGGAGACTCTAGAAAGAGTGCAGAGAAGAGCAACAAAGATGATTAGGGGACTGGAGGATAAAACATATAAAGAACGGTTGCAGAAACTGGGTATGTCTAATTTAATGAAAAGAAGGACTAGGGGAGACATGATAGCAGTGTTCCAATATCTCAGGGGTTGCCACAAAGAAGAGGGAGTCAAGCTATTTTCCAAAGCAACTGAGGGCAGAACAAGAAGCAGTGGGTGGAAACTAATGAAGGAGAGAAGCAACTTAGAACTGAGGAGAAATATTTAGAACAATTAATCAGTGGAACAGCTTGCCTCCAGAAGTTGTGAATGCTCCAACACTGGAAGTCTTTAAGAAGATGTTGGATAACCATTTGTCTGAATGATATATGGTTTCCTGCCTGGGCAGGGGGTTGGACTAGAAGACCTCCAAGGTCCCTTCCAACTCTGCTATTGTATTGTATTGTACTACTAGTAAATTTTGTTCCCATGACTATGGGATGCTACAAATAGCCACAAATGTATTCTGGTTGTCAAGTGAGCATGTGTCTGAAAAGACAGTCATCAGAATTTTGAATCTATTTTTGGGTCTGTCATAACTGTCATTACTTATAACTGACTAGTCATAAGTCAAGGACTACCTATATCCAGTTCCAAGCCTACTTCATTGTCTAAAACTTGTTTTGCTTCACCTATCATATTTCTAAACAACATCATCCATTTATGTTAGAAAATATTTACAGCCGTTCATGGATTTCCTTACTTGTATTCCCAAATCTAAACGAAAATTGCTTTCTAAAGTCACCAAAGAGAGCTCCCATCCAGATTCTGTGGGCTCCCTTTCTTAACCAGTGTTTCTCAACCTTGGCAACTTAAAGATATGTGGACTTCAACTTCCAGAATTCACCAGGCTGGCTGAGGAATTCTGGGAGTTGAAGTCCACATATCTTACAGATCTATGGAGATTCTCAGTTTATCTTGGTCATGCTTGTCCCAAAAGTCCTTTTCCAGAGACAAATGGACTTTTTCATTTTTCCTTTGAAGGTGTTTCGCTTAAGAAGATCTTAAGAACCTTCTGGGATGAGAAGTGAAATGCCTCAAAGGAAAAAACAAAAAAGTCCAGTAGTATCTTGAAAAAGCACCTTTGAGACACATATCATACAGTTGCCAAAGTTGAAAAACAATGGTCTAGAGATATTATGTTTACACAGTTTAATGAATGGGTGAAATTCAGCAGGTTCTGGCAGGTTCTGGAGAATTGGTAGTGGAAATCAGAAGTGGGGAGGGAATGGAAATTTTGTAGTATCCTTCCCCTGGAGTGGGGAGGGAATGGAGATTTTGCAGTATCCTTCCCCTGGAGTGGGGTGGGAATGGGGATTTTGCAATATCATTCCCCTGCCATGCCCACCAAGCCACCCCCACAGAACCGGTAGTAAAAAAAAAAGAATTTCACCACTGGTTTAACATATTTATCCTTTCCCTGTCCTTTTCTCTTTATCCACAGAGGAGATCATGCTGGTGGGCCATTGCACAACCCATCTTGGGTGGATTATCACCATCTCAGGGGGTTACAAGGGCATCTGGAGGTGTGGCCAAAAATTAGTATGGCAAGTCATGACCGTACAATCCCATTCTGTCTATATTTTTTTAATAAAGTGTGATGCCCCATGCAGACACCCGTGCCAGGTTACAATTTTCATTTGCAGTTCACAGAAGCAAAGCAAATCTCCTCTCCAGCTTGGCTGCAGCAGAGATGTGCCTCCGGATCCCCATTCCACCCAGCCCCTAAACAGCATCGCTGCATTAAAAAAACACAGGCGAGATACATGCAAAAATCAATTGGAATTACTTAATAACCAAAGAACAGGTCTCTGAAGGCTCCGCATAATGGTTTTTGGATTGGAAGAGTCAAAAGTCTCCCCCTTGTGAGAGAGAATGTATAATTAATAACTCTTTATCTCAGTGGTTGATCACATTCTGAAGTTATTAAATAATAAAAAAGACCCAAATCCAATTTGTTTTCCAGTGTTGTATGCTGGCCTTTGAAACGCAGCTTGCTATATGAGAACAGCGGTGAACATTTGAGCTGCATTTTTCCAATAACCACGAACAATTGCCTATGCTTTGCAAATGAGGAGGCATGTTGCGTTCCACTTGATTTTTTTCTCTGACACCCAGCTAGTCTAACCATGGTTACATCAGCCTTATTTTGCAGGACAAAGGCAAAGTTTTCACCAGGGATGTGCAATCCAAGTGTCCTATGTCCAGATCCCCAAGATGTGGGGTGGGGTCTCTACAGCCCCTGCAAAGGTTGCTAGAAAGCTGCAATTCTCATATGAGGCAGAAGAATGTCTAGGAAGATTCTCAGTCATCCAGGTAATGGTTGCCCCAAGGGTGCTTTTTCCAAAGGCAACTGGACTTTCTGTTCTGATGCAGGCTTCCTTAGAAAACAAGAAGCAAAGTCTTGGTCCCAACAAAACCTCTTTTACTGACCCGACTGGGAATTCCTTTCATTCACAGTCAACAAGGCTTATCAAACAGTCTTTCAAAGGAATGTTTATCCACACGCACCTAATCTTGTTTGGAGCGGTGCCAGATAACTAGTGTCCAAACACAGAGAAAAGCAAAACTTTTCACAGTTTTGCACAGTCTCTCTCACAAAGAGAACTTTCTGGAATGAATGAAGGAAATGTTTCCTGCAAAAGACCATTCCCCATTCATTCCTCTTTTGTTCCCTATGGGAGGGGCCAATCACCTCCAAAGTGTGGCTTTACTCTTCAGTCATCCCTACTTTCTTAGTTGTTCTTGTCTTTTGGAAGCTCTGCGCATCCACACACTGGGAACAGGCTCTAGCTATTCTTCTGCCTCACTGCTGTCTAGCTCCCTCTCTGCCTCCAACGCAGAGCCCTTCTGAGCTTTCCTCAGCCCCCAGGACTGGCCTATGTTCCTTCCCAACCTCCTCACTGTCCAACTCAGCTGCCAACTCCACCGGCCACTTGCAGACCACAACAATTTCTTGAGAGTCCAATTGCCTTTGGATAAAGCATCTTTGGGACATATGAGGCAGGAGGAGAAAATTATCCCATAAGTGGAGGAAAACTCTCTATACTAAATTAATCCAATGGGATTTGATTTACATTCATGTAAAATTAAACCTGCCTGGCTCCTCTCTGTCTTTGACCTTGCTAATTTTGGAAGTATAGACCTGGGCTCACTATTTATGTGCCTCATGGCCTGGAAAAAGCTGTTCATGCTAGTTTGCACCAAAGGTTCACACATGGGTTGTGTCAAGGCTGAATTTGGTGACATTCCAGGAAATGGATTCTTTCTTTCTTTGTTTTCCAAGAAATACTGTACTTCTGGTTTCAGAGCTTGCTCCAAAGAGCTGTGGAGTTTGGCAAGGGACAGAGCGATGGTGCCTCAGTAGCTTCAAGCTTTCCAAGTCAGCCACCTCTTTCAAAGAAAAAGTGTTTCCTGATGCCATTCTGCAATCCAACAAGGTTTTGGAGAAGGATTATCTCTTGCTAGTGCTTTGAGATTTGAGATGTTTAATTCAAAAGGGTGTGCAGGAAGACAACTGGAAGAGATCTTGGAAGTTTTATACAAATCTTCCCTCAAAGGAACTTAAGTTGCAGCTTACCTACCGTTAAACCATTGGAACCAGGAACTCCAGGGAGGCCCCGTTGGCCTTCTGGACCCTGCAAAGAAACAGAGCAAGGGGATAAGACACTGTTGGAGAGGCAGCTCCAGAAGCATCATTTTGGCCACTCTCAGCCAATTATGGGATACTAGGAAGATAGGGAGCCAAGATTCCGAGATTCCCTCTTTGCAGTGGTGGGATTCAGCCAGTTTGCACCTATTCGGGAGAACCGGTTGTTAACTTTCTAAGCAGTTCGGAGAACTGCTTGTTGGAAGAAATCTCCTTTTGTTTGTTTTTTTTCTTTCCAGGGCTAATCCTGTAAGGAAGGCAGGAAGGAAGGAAACATTCTGGTGTTGCTTCTAGCCTAATCTTTATTGCCCTGCTTACAGAAACTGCCTCTCTGATTCACCCTTATTACATTGTAACAGCTAAGGCGAAGCGCCCATCGACCTGAGTGATGTTGAGTTGGCTATGCCCACCCAGTCACATGACACTGAGCCCTGCCTACCCAGCTGCTCATTAGGGCAGAGAACTGGTTGTTAAATTCTTTGAATCCCACCATTGCCTTTTTGTTTTTTCATTTGTCTCCCCTGAGTGGACAACTGATCCTTTTAAACTCTACCCTAATCAACCCTCCTGATTACAGAAAACACAACCTGGTAAATTTATTTTACTTTATTATAAGGATGCATTAACAGAACCGTGCATGTTTGAACGTACATTTCTCCTGCCATGCCTTTGAACTGGTCAATCCATGAGGGTGGTGCCTTCCTAAATATCTTTCCTTGACCACTGAGGGACTCTAGGCTCCTCTCTCTCTTGTCTGATCATTACCGAGGAAGCATCTCTTCCATTCATCTGCCAGGGCCATTCTCACATACCATTACAAGCATTCACTAAGTTTCTAATGGAAAGATAGTCCTTTTTTCCCTCCTCCTCTGTTCACAAATGCCAAATTTCTAGGATGGAAACCTTGGTGGTCGTATTGGACCTCATCACCCCTCTTTAGATACTCATGATCCATTTGCTAGCTTGTTCCTACTTACATGCTTAAAGGTAAAGGTTCTCTTTGCAGAAGCATGGTAGTCGTTCCTGACTCTAGGGGGCGGTGCTATTCTCTGTTTCAAAGCCCAACAGCCAGAGCAGCCCAAAGATGTCTCTGTGGTCATGTGGCCATCATGACTAAACACAGAAGGCGCATGGAGCGCTGTTATTTTCCCACCAAAGGTGGTCCCTATTTTTTCTACTCACATTTTTTACGTGCTTTCGAACTGCTAGGTTGGCAGAAGCTGGGACAAGTAACGGGAGCTCACTCCATTACGTGGCACTAGGGAATTTGAACCACTGAACAGCCGAGCTTTCTAATCGACAAGCTCTTAGACACTGAGCCACCGTGTCTCTCTTACATGCTTGGGCTCTGATAAACACAGAGCCCAGGAAAAGAACTGGAAGATTCCAAAAGGAGTTACTGTGACTAGAGAAAGTGGACAAGACTACATGGTGGCCAGTTTAAAATTCCCAGGGTCTGAGATGAAAATGGGAAAGATTCTTGATACTTACCTGTGGGCCAGGAATGGATAGACCTGGCAGCCCAGGGAGACCAATGGCACCTTTAACACCTGACGAGCCCTTGATTGGAAAAAAAAAATTACAGGTCCTCCTTACAAATGATTGACTTACAATCATTTGTTTAGCAACAGGTTGAATTTATAAAGCACTAAAAAAAGTTATTTATAACGAGTCCTCACACATACAGCTGTTGCTACTGTTCCATTCCAGGTTGCCCATAGGGCCATTTTTCACCCCCAGGAGGCTTCAGGGAGGCCTCCTGAACCCTCCGGAGGGCCTCCGGGGGTGGAGGAGGCTGTTTTCTCCCTCTCCAGGCTCCTAGAAAGGTCCATTGCATGCCAAAAGCAGGATGGGGGTGTTCATGCACACATGTGGATGGGGGGATCATGCACAGACATGCCCTCACCCATAATTCTATGTGCGCAGCCCTCCGCGTGCATGTGCACACAACCCTCTGCGCGCATGTGCACGCAACCCTCCGTGCGCATGTGCATGCAACCCTCCACGTGCATGCGCACGCAACCCCTCCCCTCCACTTTTGGCGCGCGATTGGGAAAAGCTTAGCCATCACTGCTACATGGCATCTTCCCAGATAGTTTCTGAAAATGGGGGAAGCCATATTCCCCCATGGCTTCCCCCATTTAAGTCACTTAACAACTGCAGTGAATTGCTTAACAATGGTGGCAAAAATTTGTAAAATCAGGTGTGCTTCATTTAACAGTTGCCTTGCTTAGCAACAGAAATTCTGGCCCCAATTGTGGTTTTAAGTTGAAGTCTATCTATGTTCTGCACAGATTCCAGACAGGCTCAGTCCAGTCCAAACACTAATGTCTCCAGCTTGGTTTTGTAATTAGTTTCCTGCTAAAAATACATCATATGATACTCATTTTTTCAAACCCCCCCCCCCAATTTAAAAAATAAATACATAATGCAGTTTGAATCAGCATGTATCCTAATTGTAGTTGATAGCTGTATTCTGTGCAATTAGGGCTCTCTTTCCTACCCAAAGTATCCCCGAATATTCACAAACCTGCAGCTGATTTGAGACACTTATTTATGGTAACAAATACGGGGAACGGAGAAGAAATAATTAATCAGGGAAGCTCATAGCTTCCGTATTGATTCTTATTTAGATTTTATTAGCAGCATGGCAGCCAAGCTCTCAGAAGGGATCTCAACATGAAGCAAAACAATTTTAAATTCAGTGACCAGAAAACAAAAGATGTAATCATGTACTGCAGTATTATTACATTCTGTCATCAGAGATAAAAAAAAAACAACCAAAAATCAGAGGCATGAAAAAGCAAAAGGGAAAAAAAGAGTTTTGCTCTTGAAATGATACCAAGCTAATTGTCACATGTCTCAGTGAAAGAAGCATGGACAACCTGTAGTCATCTGTTGGAGCTGGATTACAACTCATATTAGCCCAGAGCTGGCTACTGGCCATGCGGTGGACTCCAACAACATCTGAATGGCAAACTTTCAATTGTATGGTTACGTCGATCATCGGGAAGCACCATGCATATAAAGTTGGGATTGCTGGAATGCCTCCCCGAGACCCCATCAGAGAAAGAAAATAAGCAAGGACAACAATGGAAAGCAAGGAGGATGAGGAGGGAAAGGAAGAAAGGGTACAGCAGAGGAAGTAAGGGAGGGGAAGTAAGAGTAGGAGGAGAAGAGAAGGAGGAGGAGGAGAGAGGAGGAGTGGGGGAAAGAGAGGGGAAGAAGAAAAGAGGAAGGAGAGGAGGAAAGAAGAAGGCAGAAAAGGGAGGTTGAGAAGATGGAAGGAGTAGGGTTGTTGCAAAATAAGATGGAGATATGGGATGGCAAGAAAGTGACCCCAGCTGTGTTTTTTATATTTGTAAGAAGATGGTGATAAATGTTAATAGTATGTATAAAAATGTATATTTGTGAATGTATTTGAAAGGAAAAAATCTTTATGAAGAAAAAAAAACAGGAAGCACCATGCTACTGGTATTATCCTAATTGGACATCATCAGACATGGGTAGCCAGAATTGTGTATGTGGGGGCTTAACTGTCAGGTACATGGGACGAAAAACATGAGTACATTGCTCAGAGTAGCTTCTTTATTGCCGATTGTCCATAGACAGAATCTTGCCAGACTGAAGCACACTCTGCATAACTATCAATCATGTGAAGGTTATAGAGAGGAGGGTCCTTTCTCTGTCTGCAAACCAAGCACTTAAGGCTGATTTGTCTTTTAGCTCCCTGGGAAACAGCCCCTCTCTCCCGCATTCAGTGCCAGATTCAAAATCAACCTAACATGGGTTTCCCTCTCCAAGAACTGAACTGACCATTCATCCCATTCTGACTATACTATACCTTTCTTCCTGCAACATCACTGAGCATCAGGACCTGTGTATCTCCTGAAGCTAGTGTGCTTTATTGTAGTAATCTAAATTTCGATGGTGCATGAGAGTTCAATGCCCAGAAGAGGGTTTGAGCCCTGTAAAATAACATCTGATTACACACGCCCGATGATTGCCAATAAGGATGAAGCCAGTCATGCAGTGGCTCATATGGTCAATGTAATTAAAAATGCCACAAAGAAAATGTGCTGGATAAAGATAGAATCCCACCCCCATAGAGAGTAAAAGGAAGTTGTGTTAAACCTCATACATGGGAGTATGCCAGAATATAACATTTTTTTTTCTCTCTCTCTCCTTTGAGAGCCAAAGGAAATAGCAATAGCAATAGCAATAGCAGTAGACTTATATACCGCTTCATAGGCCTTTCAGGCCTC